AAGATTTTATTTTTAAGTAATCTTTACACCCAACATGGAGATTGAACTCACAACCCTGAGATCAAGAGTCACATGCTTTACCGACTGAGCCAACCAGGCTCCAACATTATATATATTTTTTATTGAATGATTTCTGGCAGTGTGGGTTTTTCATAGAGTTTGTCCATTTTACCTAAGGTATTAAATAAAATTGTTCATACTTATCCCTTACAGTTTTTTAATGCTTCTAGGATCTGTATTGGTGTCTCTTCACATTTCCATAATTCATGATTTGTGTGTTTACTCTTGCTCTTTTGCACTTTTATATCCTGATCAGTCTCTTTCTCAGTTGTAATGGTCTTCTAAAACTGGTTTTACTGATTTTCTTGTTCTGCTTTTTACTGCCTTGATTTCTCTTCTTTGTTATTTTCTTTATTTTTTGTTTAATTTGCTTATTTGATTTTTTTAAGGTAGAAGCTCAGATTGTTGATTTGAAATCTTTATTTTTGTCTAATCATTTGATACTGTAAATTTCACAAATGTGACATTATTTTCATTTTGTATAATTTCCTTTTGATATCTTTTCCCTGTGGATTGATTAGAAGTTTGTTAAAATTTAGTTTCCAGATGTTTTTTCTGTTACTGATGTCTAAATTCCATTGTGGGCCAAGAATACATGGTGGTCGTTTGATTTGAGACATTTTGTATGTTTATTGCAATTTGAGATTTGTCTTATGGCCAAGAATATGGTCTGTTTTGGTTAAATGTTCTGTGCATTCTGGAAAACAGTTTGTGCTCTGCTCTGTTTAGATTGAGTATTCCCTAAATGTCACTGGTTAATTAGGCACAATTAATTGATAATATACAAATTTTCTATATCCTTACTGATTTTTGTTTTGCTACTTAATGAGAGAATATAAATGTGAATTTGTTATATTCAGTTTTATTAGTTTCCCCTAATGCATTTTGAAGTTCTCTTACTAAATGTAGAAACATTTAGGATTATAGGTCTCCTCCATGAATATCTCCATGTATGTCCCCTTTTCGTTATGAAGTGTTCCTCCTTAACCCTAGTAGAATTCTTTGCTCTGAAATCTATTTTGTCTGGTACTGCTATAGCATGGTATTTGTTTTTTCTTTCTTTCACTTTTAACCTATTTGCATTTTTTTTTTCTATTTATTTATTTGACAGAGACACAGCGAAAGAGGGAACACAAGCAGGGGGAGAGGGAGAGGGAGAAGCAGACTCCCAGCTGAGCAGGGAGCCCAGTGCGGGGCTCGATCCCAGGACCCTGGGATCATGACCTGAGCCGAAGGCAGACGCTTAACGACTGAGCCACCCAGGCGCCCCAACCTATTTGCATTTTTATATTTAAGTAGGATTCTTGTAGAAGAGATAGAATTGGATTTATCTAACAGTCTCTGCCTTTTCATTGGAAGTGTTTATGCCATTTACATTTAGTGTGATTATTACGTTTGGGCTTAAATCAACCATCTTTCTATTTTCTGTTTGTCCTATTATCCCTTTTGTGTAGTTTTTTTTTCCCCCTTATTTTGCATTAATTGGCCGTTTTTAGTATTCTTTTATTTCCATTGGCTTACTAGCTATACTTCTTTGTCTTGAGTTTCTCAGAGGTCACTTTAGGGTGTATAGTATTCATTTTTAACTTACTACAATCTGTCTTCATGTCCAGTCATACCACTTATTTATAATATTAGAACCTCGCATTAGTGTATAGTTGAATGTCTTCAATGTCTCCTCTTACATACTATTTGCAATCACCATATTTTTTTTCCACCTTCGTTATAACATAGGCCCACAATACATTGCTATTATTTTTGCTTTAAAAGGATAATTATCAGAAGGGCATGTGTTGTGATGAGCACTGGGTGTTATATGCAACTAATGAATCATTGAACACTACGTCAAAAACTAATGATTTACTATACAGTGGCTAAGTGAACATAATAAAAAAAGGATAATTGTCCTTTAAAGGATTTCCTTATATTTTGCCATTTCCATTGTTCTTCATTCCGTTTGTATAGATAGCTGTCTGGTATAACCTTCCTTCTGTTTGAAGGATTTCCTTCTAACATTTCTGGTAGTTTAGGTCTGCTAGTTTGGGATTCTTGTGTTCTTTTTATGTCTGAAAATGGTTTTATTTTGCATTAGTTTTTGAAAGAGACTTTCACTGAGCATAAAATTTTATCATTTGGTTTTTTTTAAGTGCTTACTTTTGGCTTGCAGTTTTTTAATTAAAATTGATACCTTTCCTTGTTTCTCTTTATATAATATGCCTTAATATTTCTGCCTGCTTTTTAAAGATTTTTTTGCTTATGGTTGTTTTTAAGCAGTTTGTGATGTGAGTTGGTGTGGTTTCCATGGTTTTTTTGCTAGAATTTCATTGAGCTTCTTGAATCTGGGAATTTATAATCTTGATTAAATATGGGAACATTTTGACAATTATTTCCTCAGTAGGACTCTTCTTGTCATCTCCTCTTTTGAGAGTTCCAATTTCATTTACATTAGGCTGCTTCAAATTGTCTACACTGATCTTCTGTTCATTTTTGTCCTAGCATTTTTGTCGCATTTCTTTTGCTGTGTTTTTGGGCTCATTAATCTTTTTTGCGGTGTCTTAGTATTTTTTGGTTTAGTTACTTTATTTTTCATTTCTACAGGTTTGGTATAGATCTTTTATGTTAATCTTCCATGGCTCTCCTTAACATGCTGATGGTTTTTTTTAATCTTGAGAGTATGAAATATAGTTAAAATAACACTTTTATGCCATTATCTATAATTAAGTTATCTGTGTTATTGGGTTGATTTTGATTTATTTTTCCATTAAAGCTTGTATTTTTCTACTTTCTTGCATAACTATCAAATTTTTATTAGATGTCAGACATTGTAAATTTTACCTTGATGGATGTATTTTAAAAAGATGATATTCTTGGGCAAAGGTGAGTTACTTGAAGAAAATTTGACCTTTTTGATGTTTCCTTTATGTTTTGTTAAGTGAGGCTGGAGCAGCCTTTAATCTTATGGCTGATTTTTTTTCTAAGCAATAGCCTATAACTCACTGCCTCCTGGATTACAAGGTTTTTCCACTGTGGCTGGTGGCAATACCAACTCTTCCTACTCCTTGGGTATTTTATTCAAATGCTTGCCATGATCAGTGCTTTGCTGAAGATTCAAGTTGAAGCCTCTGCAGATTTCCAGAGCTCACTTTGTAGCTTTCTTCTCTCCAGGATTCTGCCCTGTAAACTCTAGCTGCCTTTACTTCTCTCAGTGACCAACTCTGTTCCAGCTCCCAACTATCTCCTTAATTCGGGTGGACTGCTGGCCTTTGCTTAGATCCTCTCCCTATATTGGAAGCTCTCCCCAGGCAGAAAGATGGGTCAGTCATGGAGCTCACATCGTTTCCTCTCTCAGAAATTACTGTCCTGTATTTCCTGTTGTTAATTGTCTGAAAAACCATTGTTTTGTTTAATTTTTTCCATTGATGAAGGCAGTAGGATATGTCTGGTCACTATTAACTGCATCTTGACCTAAGTTTATAATAATTATCTCAAGTTTTTTTCTGTTAGTAGTTTTATTTTCAGCTGTGTCTGTTTTGTTCCTTGATAATTATTAAGTTTGACTTTCTCTTTTCATTATCTTATTTTATTCTTTTCCCATTTCATTTTTTAACTTTTTCATTTGCTTTTTGTTATATTTCTGTAGTTCAGGTGAAGCACTTGTACAGAATTTCCTTTTCTTACTGAGTTATGTTTTGTTTCAGACTGGATTCTTCAAATGTCTCTTCCTCACCCTTTTTTTTTCCCTTCCCTCTGAGGGTTGTGCTCGCTTATTTATTTATTTATCTATTTATTATTTATTTATTATGCATGCTAGAGTTATGTTTGCATAGTTACCATGACTTTTTTTTTTCTTTCTTAAGCTTAGTATAAACAGCTTTGTTCCTGTAGTATATTGGTTACTATGGTGTGTATGACTGCTACCATACTCCCTTCCCTTGGTTTCTGAGACTTTTCCCCCAGAGCTATCACTGTAAGACTGGAATATCCTAGTCTGTCCAGCTTTCTGAAGTCTAACAGTATGAGGGAGCTCAGCCTAGGTTATGGTGAGTCCTTGTGAGAACCTTAACGCTTAACCTTTCTCAACTATTGGCAGATTGCTTTATCAACGTTCAGCTCTCCTGGTGAGGGAATTATCTTGTTCCCCTAGTGTAGTTTACTGTGGAGTTCCACTGGAGAAAGTTAGCTAGCCTGAGTTTTTCACTTTTTTCACTACCACCATCTCAGAAGAGGAAAAGATAAGGATGCCAGTTCCCTTCTTTTTCTCTTCTGGGGTGTTTGAGAATTCTCAGAATTTTGTGAATTCACCAGTATCATATTTGGGGGCTAAAGGACAGGAGCCAGAGATGGGCTTGTTATTATTCCAAGGTTTTTTCTTTGTTTGTTTTTGCTGAACTCTTTGCTGCTGGTAATTTTTTTTTTTACTTTGTTATTTTAACTGATTTGATTTATTTTAACTGATTTAGAGGTCAAGCGCTTTTATGTTTGACTTTGGTCCATCTTTGCACAGAAAGTACTAAGTTTTATTTGTGAATAATTATTGTGAACCAAATAGATTTTGTTCCTTGGTAATTGCTTTAACTTCAGTCCTGGGTTGTTTGTTTGTTTTGTTTTGGTTTGGTTTTTTTGAGTGGATGAAACAAATTTTCACTGTATCATTTTAAACTATACTGATTTTTAATACTCTTTTTCCCAGATTCCGTGTTTATGTGGCAGTGCCCCATGTTTGCTGTGTCGATGCTGTCCTAGTGGAAACAACTCTACTGTAACTAGATTGATCTATGCACTTTTCCTGCTTGTTGGAGTGTGTGTAGCTTGTGTAATGTTGATACCGGGAATGGAAGAACAACTGAATAAGGTTAGTTTTGTTTTTGTTTTTTTTTTTAATTGATCAACTGAACCTATAATGAGTATGCTTAAAACCGATTGTTGGGTTTTGGAAATTGTAATGTACAAAGTAAGATAACATGTAATTCCAGTTTTAGTAATCCTCATAATCTTTTAGGAAAGAAAGAATATAAGACTTACATAAGCTTAACTTTTCTGATGGTGGTACAGATAATATGCTGTGGTAATGAAAAATAAGTAATTCTAACCAGTTAAATGTCAGAACTCAGTAGGTCTCATGGAAAAAGCAACATTCTAAGAATGAGTAGAATTTTTGTATGTAGAGATTGAAAAATAGGAAGCAAAATGAGGATAAAGAGCTTGTTGAGCGGAATACGTATGCTTTAGGAAGACTGATCTGATAATTAGAAGTCAAGCAGTTAAATGTGGAGGCTCTTTTAATCGTGTAATCAAGAACTGTGTAGGGGGCCTGCAATAACTTTTCTGAATATAGAATTAACTGAATCTGGATTTAAATATTGGCAGTGATAGAATCATACATAATACCCAGGTTCTGATTTTAGACAATTAGCAGGAAACTGTTACTGTTAACCGGGGAGGGGAGGTGTTTTATTTTTTAAAAAAAAATTTTCAGGGAGTCAGGTTGTAAAAGGAGATGATTCATTTAGTTTATAAAACATTGACTTAGGGATAGTGCACTACATACATGTGTGAGAAAGTGTGTTTGTGTATCTAACAGGAAGTAGAAAACACGGTATGTAACAAAAAAGAAATCCTAGCTAGAGGTGTTTTGGGAATGGAGATGAAAGTTGAAACCATGGCAGCATATGCTGAAGAAGACCATTCAAAGTGTGAAGACTGTAACTTTGACAAAAGCTGTTATTGAAAGGGGTTGCTAGAGAAAAGGGAACCTCAGAAGGAACAATGAAAAAGGGTGAAACAAGTGAATGCCCTATTGTGCAGACCTTAGGAAGAAAGTATTTGACAGCCAGTACATCATTAGTGTCTTGAAAAAGCGATTTCTTTAGAGTGCTGGGATCAGAAGTAGGAGAATCAAACAACTGTGAGGAAATGTATCCAGTAGGTATAAACTGCTGATTTGAGAATTTATGTAACAAAGATGGTAGTCTTAGAGGGCAGCTGAGTTAAGGAAAGGATTTTTTAGGATGAGATTTAATCATTTATATTTTGAGAGGGGTTAAAGATATGGGCTTTAATCTGTATGAGGGAGGTAGGGAGAAGGTGATCAAGAGAAGGTATAGAAGTTGGCTTTCCACCAAGACAAAACAAATGACAACAGAAAATTTGAGATTGAGAAAGAATATGGCAGTTGACTTCCATTTTAAAGCACAGTATCTGCTCGATGTTGGCTTTGGGGTAAGGAAAATGAGATTATTATGATTGTGAAAGTAACTAGCATTGCACATGGTAGTTGTGGATGACCAGTTAATGTTACTCAAGTCCTTGGGTATAAGCAAAAGACATACTTGTATGGTTTTGTCATGGATCCAGTTGACCATGGTTATAAATAGTTTAGTTGGTGGATATTAATTCTCAACACCAAATATTTCTGCTTCTCTGCTTTCTGAAGGTCATCAATGGTTTGCATTTCCTAGAGTGCTGTGAGATGTAGGGCCATGTCTCTAGTACTTACTGATCAGTGATTTGTGAGTTGAAGAAATACACATCAGCGTCTACTTACTGATACAAAATTTCCTTTTTTATCTGTCACAACATGTACATTATTTGAAATGGTGGCTTCCCCAACAGCCTGGACTCCTGAAATGACTATCAGAATCAGTTCTGTACAGGTACAAGAGGAAGAACTATGCCTTTGCTGTTTTAAGCCACTGATATTTGGGGGTTGTTACTGAACTAGCCTAACCTGACTAAACTAGGTGGTTGAATTAACTTAATGATGGGAATTCTCCAGGTGTGTCCTGCTCTCATACAAGGGAGTGGGATAATTAAGGATGCCTAGTTGAGTACATGTTGCAAGTGAGTATAGGTAAGTACATACTGCCATAGGGCTTAAACTGGGTTGGAAAGGTGAGATTTAAGTGAGACCAGGAAAGGGTTACAGACCATGTAGGAACTAGCAGAAGGAAGTAGTGCCTCCCCATTAGCTTAAATACAATTGTAAGTTTTTGGTTTTAAAGGCACAAATTGTTATATTTTGGCATATCTGTTTGCTTTAACATTTTCTAGAGGAAATAATTCATCCTCATATGTAGGAGTAGTGTATGTAGTTCTGAGGACTACTCCCATTTGTTTCACTAAAGGTTTTTTGTTTTGTTTGTCTTGTTTTGTTTTTTTGTGTTCTGATTCCAGTGTGACTTTCTGTAATGGCCATCAGTCTTTTTCAGATTTCTAAGTTAAAAATAAAATCAGTGCCAGCTATTTGTTAATCCAAATCCATTCATTATCAGAAATAACACTTGTAGGGATGCCTGGGTGGCTCAGTCGGTTAAGCATCTGCCTTCAGCTCAGGTCATGATCCCAGGGTCCTGGGATGGAGTCCCACATCCGGCTCCTTGCTCAGCGGGGAGCCTGCTTCTCCCTCTCCATCTGCCTCTTCCCTCTGCTCATTCTCTCTCTCTCTGACATACATAAATTCTTAAAAAAAAAAAAAAAACATTTGTAGAATAAGACATCAAAACTCAAAATATATTTAGGTCACATTGGCTTTGAGAAGCCATCATTGTCCTCTTCAGTATTTAGAAGCTGACTTACTATGTAATTTCTTAAGCTTTTATTGATTGTATTTCTCTCTTATACAGGTAATTCAGCATATCACAGGAGAATGCAAGTTTTAGAAAATTTAGAATAAGTCTGCAGGTCAGAATAAACATCCAGTTTTGGATCAGCATTTGTAGTTTATCATGGGCTCAAAGTAAAAAGAGAGTTAAATGTCTATCTGAGGAAAATGTTCCAGACTTACCTTGCTTACATATTCAGCATAAACTGTAAAGCAAATTTCTGTTTTCTAAACCTTAAACTATTTGATTACCTAGAACTTTCATTTTTACTTGAAAAAATTCTACATCATAAACTCTTTGTTTTTCTAGATTCCTGGATTTTGTGAAAATGAAAAAGGCATCGTTCCTTGTAATATTTTGGTTGGCTATAAAGCTGTGTACCGTCTGTGCTTTGGCTTGGCTATGTTCTATCTTCTCCTCTCTCTCCTAATGATCAAAGTGAAGAGCAGCAGTGATCCAAGAGCTGCAGTGCATAATGGGTACGTCTTTGAATAATACAAAAGTCTGGGTAGCCTTTTCTCCATTATTTTGAGTTTGTCTAAAGAAACTAAAATAGTTATGCAATTTGCAGGTTTATTTTGTTATTCATGAATGACCAGGTAAAAATATCTTCTTGTCTCTACTGAGAATATCAGATTTTAGAAATATAAATATTAAATAGTAGCCTTGGGTTACTTATTGGTATAATCTCTGATGCATGATGTTTTATAGTTCATCATAAAAAGAGGATCAACCGGGGCACCTGGGCACCACAGTCAGTTGAGCATCCAACTCTTGGTTTTGGCGCAGGTCATGATCTCAGGGTGAGATTTAGCCCCACCTCGGGCTCCACACTCAGTGTGGAGTCTGCTTGAGATTCTCTCTCCCTCTCGCTCTGTCCATCCTGCTTGTGCATTCTCTCTAAATAAATTAATTAATTTAAAAAAAAGGGTCTACCATATCTGTTAACTAATAACGAGGAACTCATTCCTCCTCCTCTTAGCTCTTGGTAGATCAGTCTTACTACATGAAACTGAACTTGGTTACTTAGACCCACAGTGCAACCAAAATGAATAACTAATCCTCAGCAGGGTGATTGATTGTCTAAATGGTTGGTTGTACTAGACAATCTAGAAAGAAACTTCAGGGTCCCTTTTATTAATATCCCTTAATGTAGAGCATCACTTCTGGTACTTAATTTGAATGTTTTGAGTTTTATCTGTTCTTTTCTCCCCATAATTAAATAAAATTTTTTTTGAGTATCTGCTATTGCTTATTTATTATTATGCTACCGAAGACAGGAAGGATGAACAAGTCAAATACAAATATTAGTGAAAAATATGCTGTGACCAGTTGATTTGTTTTGTCCTTGTAGTCATTGGTATTTGTTTATTTGCACTTTTACAAATATATTTATTAAATGTATTTTTAAACACTTCTCAAAATGCATCACAGAATGACTGTGACAATTATTCCCTGAGATAACACTCTAGTCAAAGTAGCATGCATGTAGCACTCTTAACAACCATCTTCGTTACATGTGTTTTCTTTTTAATTGAGATAAAATTAACATATAACATTGTAGATTTAGCATATACAAAGTGTTGATTTCATACATTTGTATATTGCAGTGTGATTGCCATTGTAGGGGAAGCCAACACCTCAGTCATGTCACATAGTTATTATTTCTTTCTTGTGATGAGAATAGTTAGCAACTTTGAAGTCTGTAGTACAGTTTTGCTGCTTATAATCACTCTGCTGTGCATTAGATCTCCAGGACTTATTTACTGGTTGCAAGTTTGTTCCTCTTAATGACATCTCCCAATTCCGCCCCCCTCCCCCCCCATGTACCCCATACTCTGGTAACCATTTTATTCTCAATTTTTACAAGCTTGGCTTTTTTAGATTGCACATATGAGTGATACCATACGGTATTTGTTTTTCTTTGTCTGGCTTATCTCACTTAGCGCAATGCCTTTGCAGTTCATATATGTCCTTGCAAATGGCAGGGTTTGCTTCTTTCTCGTGGCTGTATAACATTCCATTGTGTATCTGTACCACAGTTTCTTCATTCATTGACACACACTTAGGTGGTTTTCATATCTTGTGTATTGTGAATAATGCTGTAGTAGACATGGGAGAGCAGGCATCTTTCTGGTATCCTGTTTCCATTTCCTTTGGATATAAAACTAGAAGTGGAACTGCTAGATCATATGATAGTTTCTATTTTTAATTTTTTGAGGAACCTTTATACTGTTTTTCATAGTGGCTGAACTAGTTTCCATACCCACCAACCGTGCACAAGGGTTTCCTTTTCACGCATCTTTGTCAACCCATTACTTCTTGTCTTAATGATAGCCATTTCATTTTAACAGGTGTGAGATGATACCTCATAATGGCTTTGATTTACATTTCCTAGATGATTAGTGATATTGAGCACCTTTTCATATACCTGTTGGCCATTCGTATGTCTTCTCTGGAAAAATATCTAAGTTCCTTTGCCCATCTTTTAATTGGATTTTCTGTTTCTTCTTGATTTAGTCTTGATAGGTTGTACGTTTTTAAGAATTTATCCTTATCTTCTGGTTATCCAATTTGTTGACATACAATCCTTCAAGCAGTTTCTTATGAATGTACGTATTTTCATAGTACCAGTTGTAATGTCATCTCTTTTGTTTCTGATTTTGAGTATTCTTTTTTTTTTTAGTCTAGGCAAAGGTTTGTCAGTTTTGTTTATCTTTTTGAAATACCAGCTCTTAGTTTCGTTGATCTATGTTTTTTCTGTTCTGAAGCATGTTTATTTCCACTCTGATCTTTGTTATTTCCCTGCTTCTGCTAACTTTGGCCCTCTTTTTTCTGGTCTTTGAGGTATACAGTTAAGGTTATTAGAGATCTTTTTGTTTTCTTAATATATGCATTTATCACTATATACTTCCTCTAAGAACTGCTTTTGCAGCGTCCTGTATGTTTTATTTATTACGTTGTGTTTCTGTTTTCATTTGTTTAAGAGATAATTTCTCTTTTGATTTCTTTGATCTCTTGGTTTTGCAGGAATGGGTTGTTTAGTTTCCACATGCTTGGAAATTTTCCAGGTTTCCTTTTGTTGATTCTAGTTTCATTCTGTTGTAGTTGGAAAAAATACTTGGTATGATTTCAGTCTTCTTAAATTTGAAAAGACTTTTTTGGGTCCTATCATATAATCTGTTCATACTGGAGAGTGCACTTAAGAAGAATGTATATTCTGTTGCTGTTGGATGGAATGTTCTATATATGTGTTAGGTCCATTTGGCCTAACATATGGTTCAAATCCAGCATTTCCTTGTTGATTTTCTGTCTGGAGGATTTATCCATTGCTGAAAGTGTGGGGTACTGAAGTCTACTATTGTTTAACATCTGTTAGTATTTGCTTAATATATTTAAGTGTTCCGATGTTGGGTTATATTTACAATTTATGTATTTACAATTGTTGTATTTTTGTGGAGAATTGAGTTGGCCCCTTTATCATTATATAACAGCCTTCTTTGTCTCTTGTTACCTTTTTTTTTTTTTTTTTAAGATTTTATTTATTTGTCAGAGCACAAGCAGGCAGAGCAGGCAGAGGGAGAAGCAGGCTTCCCGCTGAGCAGGGAGCCTGATGCAGGGCTCGATCCCAGGACGCTGGGATCATGACCTGAGCCAAAGGTAGACACTTAACCGGCTGAGCCACCCAGGCATCCCATTGTTACCTTTTTTGTCTTAAAGTTTTTTTTGTTTGATATAGGTATGCTAACCCCACTTTCTTTTGCTTTCCAATTGCATGGAATATCCTTTATTATCCCTTCATTTGGAGCCTGTGAGTGTCCTTAAATCTGAAGTGAGTCTTGTATGCAGCATATAGTTGGGTCTTGGTTTTTTATCCATCTAGCCACACCATGCCTTTTGATTGGTAAATTTAGTATATACACATTTAGGGTAATTATTGATATGTAAGGCCTTAGTAATGTTCTTATTCATTGCTTTCTGGTGGTTCTGTATTTCCATTGTTTCTTTTTTCCTCCATTTCTGCCTGCTTTTGTAAATTGGTGTTCTCTGGTTCTTTTGTTTCCCTTTTTTCTTTTGTGAATCTACTGTAGGTTTTTACTTTGTGGTTACTGTGAGGCTTACATAAAACATCTTTTAGATAAAACAGTCCATTTTAAGCTGATAGCAACTTAACTCCAATTGTATACAAAAGCTCTTATCCATTTACTCCTTCCCTTTTGTAGTTTGATGTCACAGTTTACCACTTTTTATATTATGTATTAACCTAGTATAGTTTTTTAATACTTATTAACCTTTATAGTTAAATATTAACATGTCATCATATTATAGAATTAGTTTCCTAGATCTTACTGTATATTTTCACCAGTCTGTTACATACTTTCATACGTTTTCTTGTTACTAATTAGCATCTTTTCATTCAAGCTTGAACTTTGACCATTTTTTGCAAGGTAGGTCTATTAGTGGTGAACTCAGCTTTTATTTATCTGGGAAAGTCTTTATTTCTCTTTCATATCTGAAGGATGACTCTGGTAAATAGAGTATTCTTGGCTGGCAGTTTTTTTCTTCCACAACTTGGAATGTGTCATTCCCCTCTCTCCTGGCCTGTAGAATTTCTGCTGAGAAATCTACTGATAGCTTAGTGGGAGATCATTTGTAGATTAAGATCCTTTTTTCTCTGGCTGCTTTTAAGATTCTCTCTTTTTCTTCCATCTTTCACAGTTTGTGTTTTAGAGAAGGTCTTTTGCATGGAGATAATAGCATAATCTATTTAGAGTTGTGAACTCAGGTGTATAATACTTCCCAAGCTTGGGAAATTCTCCGTTATTTCTTTAAATAAACTTTGCCCCCTTCTTTCTTTCTCTCTCTTCTGGAACGCTAATTATTCTAATGTTCAGATACCATAGATCAAATGGGCTTTCTTCACTCTTTTTCATTCTTTTTTCCTCTGTTCACTGCTATCGGGTTATTTCAAAATTTGTGTTCTCTAGGTTGCTGATTCTGTCCTACATTTGATCTACCCAGCTGCAAGTGCTCGTTTGCATTTTTCATTTCTTTCATCAAATTCTTCGGCTCCAGATGTTGGTTCATTTTTTATGGTTTCTGGCTTTGCTAAATTTCTTGTTTTGTTCATGTATTTTTTTTTTCCCGATTTTGTCTTTTTGTGTTTTCTGGTAGCTCATTGAGTTTCCTTAAAGCAGCTGTTTTCTTTATTCACTAGATTGCAAATTCTGTGCTTTTGAGCTCAGTTGTTGGATAATCATCTTTTGGTGTTGGAATGTTTTCTTGTTTTCATGTTCTCTGTAGTTTTGTGTTGTTGCTTGAGGTAGCAGATATCTCAGGTCTCTACTGGTTGGCCTCAGATGGGGTATACTCTTCTTGATCCTATTATATGTGTCTGGGGTTCTCTTTGACCTTGTATTTATACACTTGCTGCACACTTCTTGCTCCCTTTTGTGGAAGAAATCTTAAGATTTTATGACTTCTCTGCTTCTTAAAACTCACCTTACTGGCTACTGGAACTCTTTTTGTTTCCAGGTGGCAGCAGTACGGCTCAAGTTTGTGGTTTCTCCCTTATCTACAGATCATGGAGCACTCTTATTACTGGATTGGCTCTTTCTGCCACACTTGGGAGCACAAAGAACTGGCGGCCCAGTGGGAGGTGTGGGTTTAGTACTCCAGGTGTTTGGGGTCCCACATAGCCAGCGGAGATATCCTTGGCTGAGGATCTCCCAGAGACTTGTGAACATACTTCCTGCTTAAGTCCTGAATGTAGTTGGCAGAAACTGTGTTCCTTTAATGCTTTTTGACATTCTTACCTGCTGCTTTCCCCATCTCCTGTCTCCCCTTAGTCATGGAGGTCCTGCCTCAGTAATCTGGGTACTTCTGGAAAGAAATGGGTTTCTCCAGAATTGTCCCACAGAGTTGGGGTAGCTGTCACTCACAGCTCTCATTTTGCCCCATGGGAGAGGTTGCTGCCAGATTGTGTCCATACTGTATTGCCGTGGTGTAGGAGCAGTGCTGACAGAGTTCCTCTTCTCTCTGCTGACTGAAACTCATCTCCCCACCCCAACCCCCGATACACACACACGCCATGCAGGAATCTTACCTCAGAAGGGCTAGACTTCTATAAAGTGTCTCCAGTTCATGGGTATTTGCCCACGTTGGCACTGTAGGTTTTCCCCAGCTGGGAGAGTCTGGGAGGGGTTAGGGAAGTTTATTGGTTCTGCAGCCCATACCAAAGTCTGTCTGCCTATTACCAAATACACAGGTGTGGAAGACTTTTCCTGGGTCTCTTGGCAAATGTTTCTGGATCTCACATCTTCCACAGAGGCACTTCTGTTGATGGATGCCTAATTAGTTGTTAAAAACAGGGGAACCAAAAAATAGGGACTTTCGCCATCAAGCTGCTGATGTCCTAAAAGCTGGGGTTTTTGTTATCATCACAGTTTTTTTTTTGTTTTTTGTTTTTTTAGATTTTATTTATTTATTTGAGAGAGCGAGAATGAGAGAGAGTACATGAGAGGGGGAGGGTTATCATCACAGTTTTGGATGGAGCATTTATCATGTGTTTGTAAAACTATTCATTTGTACAGTGCACCTTATATTGTCACATATTACCCCATTCTTATTTTTAATTTCTTCTTATTCATGTAAAATTGACATACAGTGTGTTAACATTAGTTTCAGGTGTACAATATAATGATACAACAATTCTTTATATTTCTCAGCATTCATCAAGAGACGTGTACTCTTAATCCCTTTTATCTATTTCACCCACCTCCCCTCTGGCATCCACTAGTTTGTTCTCTGTATTTAAAGTCTGGGGGGTTTTTTTGTTTGTCTTTTCTTTGTTCATTTGTTTTCTTCCTTAAATTCCACATATGAGTGAAATCATATGGTATTTGTGTTTCTCTGACTTCTTTCACTTAGCATTATACCCATTCATTATTTAAAATCAACCTGTGAATAGAGAACTGATATTCTCATTTTCTCATAGTGAATTAGTTATAAATCTGTCTTTTCCTAAAACTGTCCTAAACAGTCACATAAACTGTGTTTTTTCAGATGCTCTTAAATGATTTCATATATGAAACTATTTGTTGAGTGAATATTTATTAGTAAACTATATTTCTATTTCTTTTAGATTTTGGTTCTTTAAATTTGCTGCAGCGATTGCTATTATTATTGGGGCTTTCTTCATTCCAGAAGGAACTTTTACAACTGGTAATAAATCTTTTCTTAATTGTGTGATGTTGATGTTTTATAAAGAAACCGACATAATTGTTACCTGGGACTGTAACACTACTTGTTTTATTTTGTTTTCTTTTTTTTTTTTTTTACCGCAGTTGGCAAAATCAAGGCATTTGTGTAAAACTACTCTCCCTTTCATGTATTGTATGAAGATGAAGTAATAAAAAGTGAACCAGCCACTCATTTGTATGTGTTTTTTTCTTTCTTTCAGTGTGGTTTTATGTAGGCATGGCAGGTGCCTTTTGCTTCATCCTCATACAGCTAGTCTTACTTATTGATTTTGCCCATTCATGGAATGAATCATGGGTTGAAAAAATGGAAGAAGGGAACTCAAGATGTTGGTATGCAGGTAAGCTTTTGTCTTACAAAGCATCTTCAAGATAGATGAACTCTGAAGGTGAGAACATATATGTAGACTATAGGGAAATCAATATTTTTATGATGTAAGTTTTTGTGAAGAGGTGTTTACTTCAAAAGTTTGTGAGTGGCATCTTATCACATTGTATCAACAACTTTACTTGTTGAGATAGCTTTTAGGGAATCAATTAGAACATACCCAAGAGCCAGGAAATAATCCAAAATACCTTGAATGGCTAAAACAGATGTTGCAAAGGCTACTGCTGACAGTATGTACTTTTTACAGCCTAATTTCCTATTCTAGAGCAGGTTAAAAATATTAAAGGGACTAGGACTGCTAGAAATAAACAGTGGCATTCATAAACATCAGCATGCAGAAAAAATATGAAAAGCAACTCTAGAACATTTCATTTTATATAAGTAGAAAAATGCCTTTTTGTGTCAGTAACACATAAGGGGATTCTTGTAGTAGTGTGACTGTTTTATTTGTAATGATGAGCTTGAGTCCAGTGGTTATACTGCAGAACAGGGATCAGAATTCATTGGCTTGCCCCAGATGATGAAAAGGAGGGAAGAGACTTGGGTTAAGTGCATAGTCAGTCCTTGTGCAAACAGAACTGTAATGAAGACCCTATTTAAGGTGTGCATAGCTGCTGCTCAGTTTCATATAGTAGTTGCCTTGTGGAAATGTGGGCTCAGTATTGCTTAAATTTTTTCTGATTTCTTTCAAAAGAAGCCATAAATCTAAATTTTTATGTGAGATCTGAGTTTCAGCTAAATATTTTCAATCAGATTGAAAGGTATATCCATTGTTATCTGCTAGTCTGGTATTTCTCTCACAACTAGTTTGTGGTATTTGATCTCGGTGGTTAAAATAGAGTTTAGTATTCAAAGAAATAAGCTTTAGTCATTTGGGAAATTCACTTTTATAGAACACCTCATTCTTTAATGCACATCTAATGCAAGAGTTTCTGTTTTGTTCCCTGCTGTATCACCAGTGCTTAGAACTTTGTAGGCATTTAATAAATATTTGTTGGGTGGATCCCGTCAGGCACATCTGCACAAACACCTGTATACTGAGCACATATTAGCACAAAAACAAACACATTGTATGTGTTTTAATTTACCTAGAAGAAACTTGGGTTGTCTTATTAAATAATAATGATTTACTGTTACATAATAAAATATTTTTAAAAGATAATTAGTTAAGGGGTGCCTGGGTGGCTCATTCAGCTATGCGTTGGGACTCTTGATCTCATCTCAGGTCTTGATCTCGTGGTTGTGAGTTCAAGCCCTGTGTTGGGCTCCACACTAGGCGTGGAGACTACTTAAAAAAAATATTTTTAAATAAAAAATAAAGATAATTAGTTAATGCAGAAAAGCATTGTTTAGTGGGCTTAGCATTAAGTAAGTTTCCTTTTATTTTTCTGTATTTTGAAAATTATGGCTCATGTATGTGAATGTGTTTGTAATGGAGCTGTTACTATTAATAAAATATTTAATATGTCACCTAACTTACTGTCCTTGAAAATACTATAGTGAGCTATGTGTGAAGACTATAAAATCACTGTGATAAAGTTCAGAAATATTCGTCTCTGCTTTTATAGCCTGCATAATGCTGACAATGGTAGTTGCTTAAAATACATTTTGAATAAAATGATTGTTTTTAAAATGGGCCCTATGCCTAATTCCTGATATTCGTGATAAATTCTGATTGTCCAATTATATTTCTTTCACAGCATTGTTATCAGCTACAGCTCTGAACTATCTGCTGTCTTTAGTTGCTATCGTCCTATTCTTTGTTTATTATACTCATCCAGCCAGTTGTTCAGAAAATAAAGCATTCATCAGTGTCAACATGCTCCTCTGCCTTGGTGCCTCTGTAATGTCTATACTGCCAAAAATCCAAGTATGATCTTTATATCATTAGTTTTTATGAAACTTCCATTTTTCTAAGTTTTCCCTAAATCTTGAATGATGTCAGAATATTTATTCGTCTTGCTTAATTTTTCTTTGTAGGAATCACAACCAAGATCTGGTTTGTTACAGTCTTCAGTAATCACAGTCTACACAATGTATTTGACATGGTCTGCCATGACCAATGAACCGGGTATGTTTTGTTTGCTTGGGTTCTTTTTAATGAATTCTACAACTTTTTTTTTTTTCAAAGATGGTCATTTTGAGAAATTAAGCTATTTAAAAAATAAGCCTCTAGGGGTGCCTGGGTGGCTTAGTGGGTTAAGCATCTGACTCTTGATTATGGCTCAGGTCATTGATCTCATGGATCCTGAGATCATCCCTGGTCACTCAGCAGAGAGTCTGCTTAAGATCCTTTCTCTCCCTCAGATCCTCTCCCCCACCCCCACCCCCACATCCCACCCAATGCTCTCTTGCTCTTGCTTTCTCTTTCTAAAGTAAATCTTTAAAAAAGAAAAATAAGCCTCTAGAGAAATAAACAGTATGGAAATAATACCATTTTCATGTTTGATGTACTGCTATGTATTTTTTCACTTTGTTTCTTTCACTAATAAATTACAAGAAATTAATGTGAAAGTTATAACAAATACACCTAATTTGTACAGTCGTATTTATGATAGTATATATAGAAAGAAAAGCTGTTAAAATGCTCCTTGATTCATTGTTAAGCAGTATAGTTTGTTTTTTTTTTTTTTTTTACTAATTAAGATATTTTTGTCTGTGAGTACCTTGCAAGTGAATGTAATTGGGCTTTCTAATGAATCTGTAGGCCAGTTACACTGCATTCCATGAGATTAGAAGCCAATATATATCATTTGGGGTGAAACAAATTAGCGAGAAATTAGTTACTGATTTTGAAAAGAAAATGTTCCCTTTTACTTAAGAAAATTATGAAATATCATCTGAATCTGATTTCAGGTTTATAAACTCAGTAGGTACTTTATCAATAGTTGGAGGAAAGCTGTTTTTATTTTTTTTTTAATTTTTTTAATTTTTTTTTTTTTTTAAAGATTTTATTTATTTATTTGAGAGAGAGAGAATGAGAGACAGAGAGCATGAGAGGGAGGAGGGTCAGAGGGAGAAGCAGACTGCCTGCCGAGCAGGGAGCCCGACGCGGGACTCGATCCCGGGACTCCAGGATCATGACCCGAGCCAAAGGCAGTCGCTTAACCAACTGAGCCACCCAGGCGCCCCAGGAAAGCTGTTTTTAGTATTAAAGAAAGATTATTTTTGTTGAGGTGTTAAGTGGTTAGAAAAAAAATTTTATTAATTTGCTTTAGAGCTTACTCTTAATCTGAATGGCTCTAAGATAAGAATCATTTTTTTTTCTTGTTTGTTTTTTCCCCTAATTAAGGATCGTTTCATTAATAAGATGGTAGTTGATATATCTGGCTTTGTGGGAGAGAAAAACATTTGGGTACTTCAGTGAATACAAACCTTACTTTTTCTTACGAAAGTTAAACAATACGGATTAGGTCATTAAGAGTTATTTAGACATTTCCACAAAGCATTTGTTAAAATTCTAGTAACTGGTAATTTTATGTGTAAGCTACCTTGCTTACATAGCAACATACTTTGACAAGTTTATAAATTTCATAAAGTCACTGTTGTTCTCTTACAACGTATATTAGGAAAAGCCACTGTATTTTCGTTTAGAACACCTGAATTTTATTCCTAAGTGTACTAGAGTTTTATTATACTTAGGAGAGCTCATCTAAATTTCACCTATTTCTTGATCAGTAGAAAGCTTAATAATATCTCAGTTCTCGAGGTTTAAAATGAAATTACTTGGTTTTTCTGGGCACTTCTATAAAATTAGCAGTATGATGTTTAAAAGGTCTCATTATCAATAAATACAGGTTGTTTCAAAGTATTTTTTTCTTATATTTGTACCTTTTTCCTGGAAAATTTTTTGAATATGCAAGGCCATAAAGAGTTAAAAAAAAAAAAACTGTAACTAGGCCCCCCAAAATAAATTATTTTTTATACTAGTTCTGACATTTTAATTTGACCTTAATTTACATTACAGAAACAAACTGCAACCCAAGTCTACTAAGCATAATTGGGTACAATACAACAAGCACTGTTCCAAAGGAGGGGCAGTCTGTCCAGTGGTGGCATGCTCAAGGAATTATAGGACTGATCCTCTTTTTATTGTGTGTGTTTTATTCAAGGTAAGAAAAATTGTGGATTTTTTTTTTTAACAAGAAATCTAGCCATTCATTTAAAAATCATTTTTTTTAAATACCCTTTTTCTTTCTTTCTTCCTGAACTGTCTTTTATGCAGCATCCGTACTTCGAACAACAGTCAGGTTAATAAATTGACTCTAACAAGTGATGAATCAACATTAATAGAAGATGGTGGAGCCAGAAGTGATGGATCACTGGAGGATGGAGATGATGCTCATCGAGCTGTAGATAATGAAAGGGATGGTGTTACTTACAGTTATTCCTTCTTTCACTTCATGCTTTTCTTGGCTTCACTCTATATCATGATGACCCTTACCAACTGGTACAGGTAATTATATTTCATGTGCCTGTGGAAATTTTGATGCTTTTCATGATTGCATTGCAAAGCATGTGGTATGAAGTACTTTTTATCCTCCAATGTATTCCAAAATTTACATCTAAATGAATAATGAGATCAGTATGAGAAATGCAGACTTTCCTTCCTTGCTTTGGCATTAATATTGAAATACTTCCAAATCTTGAAGAAATTAAAATCGGAAGCTTCATGAAATTAACACATTTTTTACAGAAATACCATGTTAATAGTTGATTCAACACAATGCTTTATTTTTTTGACACTGTAACCAATCCCTGACATGGTGTAAGATAAATCTTTTTCTCTGTTTTGTTCAAACTATTGTTAAAAGCACTTAAGTTTTCAGAATTGAGAAATTCATTAATGTAGATTAATATAAAGAATATGGCTACTCTAAAATTGGATCCTTAGAACTCTCCGTAGCTGTAATTTTTGCTTTTTTATCACTTTACAATTTATAAATCTTTTTCTGGTAATAGGAAAGTAGTTATTTTGTTTTCAAAAAATTTCTAATTTTGTCAAAATGGTTACTGAGAGATCCAATTTAAGATTCAAGTTGAACTGTATGGTTTGGAAAGTTCTGTTTTTAATAATTTTAAAGCAGAATACCCTTCACAACTTGTAAGAGGACTTTGAATATCAGAAAAAGATGTAGAAAAAAGATTATTCTTCATTTTAAGAGCAGACTTTACTGGCATTTACTATTGAAAAATAAGTATTTTTTAAAATTCCTACACTGCAGCATATTAAGTGATAAGAATCCATGTAGTGTTCAGTAATTCACAGCTTTGGCTGTCAGATAATATTAAACGTTAAGACTTCAGATTGGGGCACCTGGCTGGCTCAGAGGAGCATGTGACTCTTGATCTCAGGGTTGTGAGTTTGAGCCCCATGGTGGGTATAAAGATTACTTAAAAACCTTAAAAAAAAAAAAAACCCAAAACTTTAGATGAAAAATATTTTTGGTATGTTTCATTTGCATAAAAAGTAGGTAAATTTGGGATGTATTCTGAATCTCTTAAATCTGAAAAGGCTGAAGGTGGGAGAGCAGTTCCCATATATATACACTTTGAACAGATTATACTTTCTATAGAGGATAGGATTGAGAAGTCTTTTTCAATCCCTTTTCCCCGGGGGGAGAAGCAGGCTCCCTGCTGAGGAAGGAGCCTGATGCGGGACTCGATCCCAGGACCCTGGGATCATGACCTGAGCCGAAGGCAGACGCTTAATGACTGAGCCACCCAGGCGTCCCTAGGATTGATAAGTCTTTTTATAACAGTATCTTACTTATCCAGGCATCACACTCCATTTCTCTGCTATCTCTGACTATTAAGCCAAAAATACAGGTTCCCCCCTACTTTGTTATAGTTTGTATTACGCTACTTCATTTTTATGAGACTTATATTAGTACCTGTTTTTGTTAACTGAAAGAAACCCAAAGAGAAATTTTGCTTTTAAGAAAAAAGCCATTTACCTTACTCACGTAGGTATTTTGTAAAAGCAGAGTGGCCTAACAAACTTTCAGAAAGTGAGGACCTGTACATAAAGAGCCTCTGAGTATTAGTAAAAGGGCTACTTCAGAGGCCAATGTCCTTTACTCTTTTAAAGGAAATTGATTTTTACCTTCACATTAGCTATTAAAGTAGTATGGCAAGTAGGGCAACAGATTATTAGCTCAGCAATTGTGTATCTGTAATCACAAACTGTATACAAAGAACACCTTTGAAGTAAAGCTAAATAAGTAGCATGATAGCTGATAATCCAACCCTTTCCCTTTCATTTTTTTCTTAAATTTTAGGTACGAGCCTTCTCGTGAGATGAAGAGTCAGTGGACAGCGGTGTGGGTGAAAATCTCTTCTAGCTGGATTGGCATCGTATTGTATGTTTGGACACTAGTGGCACCACTTGTTCTTACAAATCGTGATTTTGATTGAACGGGACTTCTGGCATGAAAGTCCCACTTTGATCATTGCTTGAGATTAACAGTATTCCCAACTTTTGTAAAGTTGTGTATGTGTGTGCTTCCCATGTAACTTCTCCAGTGTTCTGGCATGAATTAGATTTTATCGCTTGCCATTTTATTCATTGTATTCTTGCCATGCACATTGATACGTGTGTTAGAATGAATTACAAAGGGAGAGATTTAGGAGTCTGGTGGTGAGTTAGGAAAAGTGGACATTGTTAGGTTTATCCTTAGCTCTGTGCCTGTGAAATTAAGAGTAAAAACAAAACTGACAGTTTGATTTTTAAATTGTGCTAGTCCCTAAGCTGTTTTAGAAAGTATAAAAGGAAATGTATGGCTGCCTTTTGAAATATTTGATGCCTTGCCCTACAAGAGACTGCAAAGAACGTGGCTGTTGTAAAATTGTATAAACAAGTTGTCTGAAAAATCTTTTCAGGTTTTTCCCTTGATGTGAAGATAAGGAATGTATACAGGTAGGGAGTGTTTGATGGACAACAGTGTAAATTATGGAGATTAAGAGACAGAGGCTTCATAGAAAGATTGGTGGTGGTGGGTTACTAATTTGAATACCCAGGTAGGCTGTAATCTTCCCTGGGTAGGGATGGCCTTTCATACCAACATACCAACTTTGTTTTAGTCGTTACAAACACTTGCAAAAGTATAGGTTCAATGGAGATGTTAGGAACTCTGAAGGATTTAGACAAAGCTTTTGAAAAAGGTAATCGTGGGTTAGAAGGGGCACTTTGAAAGTTCATTTTGAAAATCAAAGGTGGTAAACTTGACAGGACGAAACTGTAATATACTAAGCCTCAGGAGATACTTAGGTAAAATCTAGTCCAATCCTTCATTTTAAAAATGAAGAAAACTGTAGCTAATCAGTGACCAACCTGGGAAATCCCAAGTTTCCCCAAAATAGCTGGCATTCTTTTGGCATTCAAAAATAACTTATATTCAAAATCCATGCATAATAGGTTATACACCTCATTAGTGGTGGATAATTTGTTATGTGATTTGCTGGTGTCCACCTTGCCTTCTACCCATAAACTGAGGCCAGGAGAATGATGGAATGCTATAGAATATAAACTGCTTATAGTACACTCTACAGTTCAGAAGAGGTTTAAAATGCTTTTGTATTTGCTGCCATCTAATTGAAATATAGTTTATTATAATTACAATTGTTCAACCTGAAAATCAAGCAGTATGACAGTTAACTTAGAAACTTAGTTACTTGTACATGTTATTAGTGTCTTAATCTTAAAAATCTACATTTGCTTCTTTTAAGGTATTTATTAATGTAAATGAGAGAGAACAATTCAACTTAAACTTAATTCCCCAACTTTATTCTGTGTGTTGATACTGTGTTCCATCATTTTGAATGGCTGTGTTCTATCTCCAAATAAATGAATTGAGAGAAAGTGTGTGGTGTATTAATTCTTTAGCAACTCAAATTTAGGTGGCTGTAATACTCAGACCTACTTTTTTTCTCTGTGTATGAAAGAACCTGCTGAAACAGGGTTAACTGTCCATTTGTGTGCTGAAAACCTGCATTGTTTTAAAGGTGGCAGTTACACCCTTTTGGTCCTCTGTAAGTAACCCCTGAAATTGGATCTCAGGTAATTAAAGTGATGTTCTCCTAAAGAGCCTTTAGTAGATGGGCCAGTTTAGTTTGGAGAATATTTTTAATTCATTTGATAAATATTCTATATCTGTGTCCTGTAGGCATTTTTCCTAAGTTGCAAATGGATGCTTTCTGACACAAGATGACATAAAAAAGTCCCTTAACAACAAAAAGTAGTAATGAAGTACTCTATTCCATATGAGTTAACAAGGGTTAGTGTACTTTATTCAATAATTTAAAATGGTATGATTTCTCCAATATTACAGGCAAGACAATGGCTATGGGCATTTACTCAGAAAAGTCTTATGTTCACACAATCTGTACAAGAACATTCATTGCTTTATTTGCAATAGCCCAAGCTGGAAACCTCCCAAAAGTCCTTCAACTGGTGAATGTTTAAACACACAGTGGTAGGGCGCCTGGGTGGCTCAGTTGGTTAAGCAACTGCCTTCGGCTCAGGTCATGATCCTGGAGTCCCGGGGTCGAGTCCCGCATCGGGCTCCCTGCTCAGCTAGGAGCCTGCTTCTCCCTCTGACCCTCCCCCCTCTCATGTACTCTCTTTCTTGCTCTCTCAAATAAATAAAATTTAAAAAAATAATAAACACACAGTGGTACATCTATACCATGGACTACTAAACAATAAAAGAATGAACTTTTGGTACACAAACAACTTGACTGGATCTCCAAGGAAGTATGCAACTGTATTAAAAAGCCAATCCCAAAAGGTCACATAGAGTATCATTTCATTTATTATAATATGCTTTCAGTGATGAAAATAAAGAATCAGTGGTTCTTTGGAACCAGGGATTAGGAGAAGAATCCTTGTGGGTGGGTTAAATGATTAGTTCTGTAAGAAACTGCCATCTTCCAGAGTGTTCACACTATCAATGTATGAACCATTCGGTTTCTTTGCATCCTTGCCAGCATTTGGGGTCACTAATTTTAGCAATTCTGATAGGAATACTGTGTTACCTCATTCTGGTTTTATTTTTTTTTAAAGCAGAGCAGGAACACAAGTAGGGGAGTGGGAGAGGGAGAAGCAGGCTTCCCACTGAGCAGGGAGCCCGACGTGGGGCTCGATCCCAGAACCCTGGGATCATGACCTGAGCCGAAGGCAGATGCTTAACGACTGAGCCACCTAGGCGCCCCTCATTGTGGTTTGTTGTTGTTTTTTTTTAAGATTTTATCTATTTGACAGAACACAAATAGGCACAGCAGCAGGGAGAGGGAGAAGCAGGCTTCCCGCTGAGGAAGGAGCCCGATGCAGGGATCGATCCCAGGACCCCAAGATCATGACCTGAGCTGAAGGCAGACCCCCCTCATTGTGGTTTTAATTTGCCTTTCCCAAATGGCTAATGATGTTGAGTATCTCTTCATTTGCTTTTTTGCCATCTATAGGTCCTCAGTAAAATGTCTATTCGTGCCTTTTGGCAATTTTGTAACTGGATGGTTTTTTATTGTAATTTGTTGAGTTTTGAGTTAATATATTCTAGATACACATCTTTTATCAGATAAATGGCTTGCAAATATTTTCTCCTAGTCTGTCTTTCCATCTGAACAGGGTCTTTTGCAGAGCAAAAGTGCTTAATTTTGATGAGCTTCAATTTATCAATTTTTAAAAGACCTAACGTTTTTTCTGTGTTGTAGTTCCTTTATATTAAACTTGTCACTACTTGGCCAGCTCAACACACTTTTTAGTACTGCCCTTAACAGCTCTGAAAGCATCCCCATTTACTGGGCAGATGCTCCATTCTTACACCCTTGATTTTCTGTGTTCTAAGATGTAAAATAAAAAGAAAATTTTTGTTCCTTATTAGGATTCTCCAGAGAAAAAACCAGTAGGATAAATAAATGGTGAAAATGGCACTTCACCCCTGTGGTCTTTCTTACCCCAAACCCATTAACTCCTGTCTAATCATGGGAAAAACAGGAAATCCAAATGAAGGTCACTCTACAAAATACAATGCCAGTACTCAGGACTGTAAAGGTCTGGTTTATTTGTATTGTAGTTAGTCTGTTTGATACCAATTTCATGAAATTTGTTCATTTTATGGCCTAATATACAACCAATTCTCAAAAAATATTTCATATGTGCTTGAAATGAATATTTAGGCTCTTAATTTTTTTTTTTTATTTGAAGATTTTTATTTATTTGAGAGAGAGAGCATGAGATGGGGGAGGGTCAGAGGGAGAAGCAGACTCCCTGCTGAGCAGGGAGCTCGACGTGGGACTCGATCCTGGAACTCCAGAATCATGACCTGAGCTGAAGGCAGTCACTTAACTGACTGAGCCACCCAGGCACCCTAGGCTCTAATTCTTAAATGTAACATTCTATGTATGTTCATCACAATGAATATCATTTTGTCATCTTCCCAGTCTGAAGACTTTTCACATTTAAGCCTTTTATCACTTGAGTATACCATCCCTATGAAAAACAAGGTGACACACCCTAAGGGAACATACAGCTGTCCTACATGATTTCTGATGGCAATACTTATAACCGCCCCCCCCCTTAAGTGAAAGAAAGTTATAAAGCGGATGAAGATGGGGGAGCAGTCTCAAAATTAATGGTCTTCATACTGTGGTACTTGTTTTCCAGACAGTACAGAGACTTCCTCTGGTAAACAAGAGTTTTTAGAGAAATCAGTTTCCAGATCTTCAATTTCCTTATTACTCCTTCCTGAACTTGGATCTGCCTGAAAAGATGCCTTAAGGACATCAAGGCATCGTCCCTCTTAACAATTACTTTCCACATTTAACAAAGATGTACCTCTTACACATTCTAAATCTTACCAAGGCACTTCGGATAAAATCTCGAACACCCAATAAAGACAAAATTTTAAATACTGGTGAGAAAGAATGACACTAGGGGGAAAAAAATCCTGTTGCAATTCAGGTAGTTTCTATTTTTTCACTTTCAAGGAATCAAAAGATGATCTAATTAAGTCACCAGCTGGTAAGTCATTAAAAAATAAAATAGTTCTAGTATATAATTCTGAAGAAGTTCAAAGGACTGAGTGATAGTGCTATAACAAAATTCCATCATTTTTTTTTGAATTATAAAGTTTTTAAGAGTTGTACACTTATGAAAACAAAAAGGAATGAAACTGATGCTCTTACAGTGATAACCTTCACCCTCAGATACAAAAAAATTGGAGAAGTACTCTTCCCCCCCCATAGAGACCTGTTCACTAAAAATGTTATTTCTGATAAAATTTTACTGTTTAATGTCTGCTAGAATTTGAGTATTAGCGAACACTAAGATCAACCCCCCCAAAAAAAAAATCCAAAGGCAGAACATAGTTTATTCTCCACTCACCTGAAGTCTACAATAGGTGTCCAAGATTGATGGTGGCTTTCTTCTAAGCAGTGATTCAGGAAGCCAAATTTCTTCCTTCTTGTGTGTATACTCAGAAGCCACATACTCCTCTGCATCAGGCTAGTGGAGGGGTAAAAGAGCAAGGATTGCAGAGGGGAGGTTTTCACAGACCAGACCTGGAAGTTCTGTACATCACTTCCAATTTATTTATCAGAATTCAGTTACACAGCCACCCTGTTTACGAGTAGAAATAATCTAACTGCATGACAGAGAAAATGGTTTGGATAATTATACTGTTTTGATGAACTGTGTGTAATTGGCCACAAACTTCTTTAATGCTTAGAATCTTAAGGTTATAGGAAACAATTTCAAATTTAGTTGCAGAGAAGTGTGACAGTATCTTTGATGTATAACTTTCACACATAATAAAAGTAGGATAAAATTCTTGGGAGAAGTGGAATGGATGATGACGGATATCAAATCAATATGGTATTTAGATTCCTTTAGATACATTTTAAAAAGCATATAACTATTTTTAAACTAACAATTTTATTTTTAAGTGGTAGTATTAACAATACCCTAAATTCCTTCCAACTAAAGATGAAAATTTTTAAATTCAACTTAAAAAAGTACTAGAAGGTATTAAGTTTTTCAAGATTTTTACAAGACTTCTAAAGCCCCAAAATGTCCCCCAGGAGAAGAAACTTAATCATATTCCACCACACTGAAGAAGAGAAGGGAATAATCTCTAAAGTTCTCTCTCTCAGCCTCTAAATTCTTGTTCTCACTTTAACAACCTCTAGGAAAGTGACCTCTATAGCTTATGTAGAAACTAACTTCTGGGGACTTGAATTAGTTCACCAAGATGCCACTGTCAGAGCCAAATGTTTTAAGATCTGCGAAGGAAGGGTTTCCTCTCTCTCTCTGCTAGGCTTTACTTTGAATATTTACATCATAGTAAGAGAAATTCCAGGATATAGAGAGACAGAATATGGCCAAGAGGAAGGCCAAATTTGTAATTACTCATTAAATGGCCCTATAAAATATTCAGATATAAACTGCTCTGCTTCCAGCCTTCTGCCTGAAGGTAGAATTCAACTTGATAAAAGAGGGGCCTGCCTTGCATTACGCCTCTATAAGCCTACTGAGCAACTATTCCAAAGGGAGGAAGTGTTACTGTTTCATCTTCTCTAGGGGCAAAAATTACAGGTCTCTGGGTGGCATCCAGTGATAATGTTATCTCATTTGGGACAATGAGAGGCATACTTCTCTTAGTCCTTTATTAGAAATATAGAAAGCAAGCCAATATAATTTTTAACACAGAAGAACTTTAAAACACATTAAGTTTAGAGACCTCTATGTTCCTTCCTTCTTGTAATACAGTCTATCTCGAGATGAGGCACAAAGATCTTGATGTGACTCAATAATGGACAACAGACAGTTTACAATTAAAGTCTACTTCCTATAAAAAGGAAAAATTTTTACATGTGGGTGTCACCTCTAAAGAAGACACATAACAGACACTAGTACGCAACATTCATTATATTTATTTTACTAAATAGTATGGTTCAAAAAAAACACAAACAAATCAGAAAACTTTTACTTAAAACTAGTCCAACGAGATGGATGGGGCTGACGCCATCCCATCCCCCTTCTTTTTATGTGTATGGAGCTGGAGCCCTATCTGACAGCAAGCACTCATGTATACTTTGCCTTTCCTTTGAACATGAATGAACTTCTCTGAACAAGAGAGACAAATGAAGTTTTACAAGATACAGGCACTTTATGTTCCCAGTTTTAAAAATAAGCCAAGTGAAAAATATTTGATAAAAGTAACTGGAACAGACAAAGGTTTAAGAGTTTTACCATTAGTTCTAGTGACTTACACTCAATGCAAACAGACAGCATCAAACAAGTAAAACAAACAAAAGTTTAACTGGGGTTAATGGGCATATATGTAAAAAAGAAATCCAAGTTACTACAACTGGAGAAAAATGGCCATTTGAAGCCAACTTAAAGATAATGCCAACAATGTGCATTAAATTCTGTGTACCTACGTAGCCGAGTAACATCTGAAAGCTTTGCAAGAGTGTGTAAGTGAGAAAAGCAAAAGGTGCTTTTGATTCCACAGTATCTGATTAAACAAAACAAAGCAATTTACAAAAAAAAGTACCAAATGATACTTTAAAATAAATAGTTCATCATTTTGATGAATATATACATGTAGAGTCCACTTCTTGGGGATTTAGCTATCTAAAAGTGGCATATCACTATCCAGAGGTGCAGGAGCAAGTTCACATAAATAAAACAGTGTGGCTTCACTAGCTTCGGCTTCAGTCAATGGCTCCAGGCGAACAAGCTTACTCTGGGTTGGCTCTGGATCTAGGCTGCTATCCAGAAGCTCATCAACTTCTATGGGTTTATCTACAGAGGACATAACTTCTGATGATGCTGTACTCCCCTGTTCAACAGTAGAAGCAGGGTTCCCATCGAGGAATGCAAGAAGTGGAAAGGCAGTGTACTGGATAAGCTGCTTATCTATAATAAAGATTAGAAAAATGCTCTTTTATCACCAGCTTTTACAGAGTTCAAGCTGAAGGTGGAAAAAATGGAAACAGCTGTGCATATATGCAATCACGACCCTTATACACACAAACAAGAGATATGATACTTTGTGTCAGTAAATTTTAAAATGTACTAGTCAGAAGAGTTAAGTCTTTTATTCAACAATTAAGAGAGTTCTTTCAGTTCTCCTAAAGTTAAATTAAAAAAAAAAAAAAAGACTTAAAGAACTAGTACCTCACCAATTTAATTTTTTCTATAAGCTGAAACCTTGATATATTATGCATAGAACTGAGAACAGTACATTCTGTGTTCAATTGTTAAGTATGGCAAAGACTTTCCTTGGCTCACATTAGTTTCTATGTAGTACTCTTAATTTTAAAAATCTGTAAAAGCTAATACTACATTTATACCTACCTGTTTTGGGTTTAGATTTTCTTCCCTCTTCTGAAACTGGCTGAACTACATTGTTCTTGGTAGTTTCTAATCCTTTATTCTCAGACTAAAAGAGAAAAAATAATATAAAAAATACTTGTTTCACATTTTATATATTCCTAAAAATAGCAAAAAATTAAAAAAAAAAAAACTGGTACAGTATGTGAATATTGGTATATTATCTGAAATAAAGGGGAAAGGGGAGCACCAGGAAAGATGAACTAGAGAGAGAAAGAGATTTGAATAGGTAAGACTGGTTAAGACCGGTTAAGAAAACTATTGCTATCATCAGTGGCTGAAACAAAGAACCTAAACTAGGATGACAGTTAAATATGAAAAGAGGGGGCATTTCAAAAGAACAGACAGAATTTGTTACAGGTAAAAGATGGGAATGAATCAAAGATGGCTGGTTTCAATCTTTAATCAATTAAACGCAAACAGTTTTGATTAAAAGTGTGTATTATTCATTTCTCTTCACTCACAAACAGAATACTTAGCATAAGTGAACATATTTAGAGTAGCTCAGGATGACATGGTGATATCCTTAAAACTATTATTTCTGTATTTGGAAGCCTCAAAGTTGAGGTGAAGTTTCTTCAATTCCTTTTTGAGACCCTTTCAAGTTCTTTTCTGTCATTTAAATTGCTTCTTTGAACCAGTCTTCTCTCCTCACATCTGATTGTAAAGGGGATTAAACCTTTAATGCTGTTTAGTTCTTCCGTGCTCTTTTCAAAGATGTTCAAACTGAGGTGCTGAGGTTCACAATTTTCCCTAAATAGCTTTAAGTCCCAGACACTTGCATGCTCGTTAAGTATATACGGTGTAAAAAACATACTAATTCCTATGATTCCCCTGATATTCATCATAAAATGAAGCAGTGCAAGTTTCCAGATTCAGAAATAATGGCCCCAAGATATAATAAACTAAACCTTTCCAAAAATGTACATAAAAACATTTCTGATTTAGCAATCGCAATAAACAAACATTAATGCAATAATACCATTATTTTTTACTTTTTAAAATAGGCAGTTTTCAAGGATGCCACTGTTATTCTAAAACATATGAGAACCAGGATGACAAAGGGGATTCATTTCCCGTACAAATTCTTATTCATTAGTAGTGACCACTTAGATGGCTCTACTACTAAAGAGTACAAGTATCCTGATTTATTAGTAAAAAAGTGTTGTAATCTATGTTAATACAATACTTGTCATGAGCAAGGGAATGACAGCTGATGTGCCAATTATTTGAAAACATTAATCTAGATTTTAGAACTATAATGAAAAGTCATTTTCTTTTTATAGCACTATAGAACAATATGCAATTTGCTGTTTAACTGCTATTCCTGAGAACTGTAATTAAGCTATTGGTTTTGGAATAGAGAGGATAATCCAAGAATAAAGAATGATTCAATGTGTAGCAATAAACAGTGTAGCACATTCACTAAATGAATGCATGATATGGGTTCATTCACCTTAAGACCTAACATTTAATAATACCATATTTACTGAAACCCAGTGTGTTGAGGTGATCCATAGAAACTTACAATATAAATCCAGGCAAACTGTGGTCCACACGCCAAATTCAGCATGCTGCCTGTTTTTGTAAATAAAGTTTTACTGAAGCACAGCCACACTCGTTCTTTTACGTATTGTCTACGGCTGCTGTTGCACTACAATTACAGTGTTAAGTAGCTGTGACAGAGAACATATGGCCTGCAAAACTCAAAGTGTTTACCAACTGGCCTTTTTATAAAAAGTATGCTAACCCGATAAAAATTATCCAAATATTCGGGGCGCCTGGGTGGCTCAGTCG